AATAATATAGATAATACAGTAGTTGAAGAATTTGACAACATGTACCTGGAGACCCCACCAAGAGGAGCTAACGCAGGAGGAACACGAGAAAGAATATTTAGAGACATAAGAGAGAAGGTTAGGTTAAGTGTTGAATAGAGACATTGTGGGAGTGAGAGCAATAGGAACCACGGGAGTGCATGTGAGTGACTGAGGAACAAAATGGGAGCGAGTGAATGTAAAATGAGAGGAAGAGAGGCAGAGACTGGGGAGGAGTGAAACAGCATACGAGAGAAAGGTCATTTGCAAGTTAGATAATATTGGAGCCCAACCATTTCGCCATTCGTTACACATATAGGGAAGGACTGAAGGTGAAGTAAAAAAGGAGGTAAGAGTGCATAAAGGAGGAAAGAGCAGTGTTTACTGGTTAACAAATTTATTTACAAAGCTTGGAGTACAGTTCGCCTATTCTGAGTAATTCAGTCAGGCTTGACACTGGGGTGCGGGAGTGCATGCGTGAGTGGTGAGAGAGAGTGAGCGAGGGACTAGGGGAGGAGGAAGCAAGCTGCGAAGTAGGGGGGCTGGTGGTAGAGATTAGGGAGGCTGATGAGAGATAGGAGTGGGAAGAATGGGTGAGAGATAAGTGGGAGACTGAGGGGAGGCATGGAGTGGAGAGGGAAGGAAGGAGCAGCGATAGTATGTTTGAGTAGTGGGGGAGAGGGGCGGAGGAGATGGAGGGGAGTGAGCAATGAAAGTGAATGGGGAAGGGAGGATGTTTAACTCAGCAGGTTTGTGAAACGATCAAAACCATCTGTATGTTAGACTACTGTTCCGTCAGTCCCGCATCAGAGTGTCACGACATTTCTGTTCAACTTTGTGTTACGACTCACACAAGTCCCTCTAAAATGACCCCGTGACACCCCCTTCTGTCACACCTCTCTTTATAACGATAGCTACAGTAATATTACCATCTCTGTCAAAGCCTCGTATATCTCTAGTACAATAGCTGTCTCTAACACCTCTTTGTTACCAGTCATCTCTTTTTTGATTCCGTTCTTCACGCGCGACTATTGACCATGCTTCCAAGGTCATTTAGCAGAGAAATTAGTCTCTTAGGACAATTTACCGTCTGAGAGGCAGTATCTGGTACATATTTAGAAAAAAAATATATAGTGTACAGTATTTCATTATTCCTTTAGTTTTCAAGTATTGACTCGCAACCTTGTATTCAGGGTCACATCATAACCTTACCCACATTACATGACGAATAAATTATAGAGACAAGGCATACTAATCTTCCTCAAGTCATCTGTTACCAACTGTTTACCAGAGCTGTGTATGTTGGGTGATGCAGTAGGTACTGTAGGTACGCATGTTGTGGTTTGTTTTATAGTGTGTGTGTGTGTGTTGTTACAGGTGGTCATCAAACCAGCGTACATGTATATTTGGTGTTCATAACATTTGCTAAAGTTAGAATGCATAGTGGTGATAAAGATAAATGCAGAATATATAATGAAGGAATGTATGGGTATGCAGAATGCATAATGAAATGTATGGATGTGCAGAATGTATAAAGAAGGAATGTATGGATGTGCAGAATGTATAAAGAAGGAATGTATGGATGTGCAGAATGTATAAAGAAGGAATGTATGGATGTGCAGAATGTATAATGATGTTATATATGAATGCATAATGAATAATTAAGAATATATGAATGTTGCAAAATTTATAATGAACGAATACCGATACAGATGTGCAGAATGAATAATGAAGAGTGCATAGCTACTGAATGTACATAAAGTATAATGAAGGTATGGTATACAGTAAAATTAAGGTATTGTTATATGTCTATGTAATATTAATGAATGTACAGAATGTAGTGAATTAGAGATCATTTAATTGTACAGTATAATGAATTAGAGATGGAAAATTTTGATGTTTAATGAAGATATACTGTAGATGGATATTTAGAATGTATGTTGAAGGTCTAGATGGATATTCAAAATGTGAATATACAGAATATATACTGAGGTACTGGTACTGTAGCAACGTGAAATTCAAGATTCTGGAAATGATACCGAGGTACAGTAATGGTTTGTTATCTGATGGCATTCAGGTGATTTGTGAGAAATGATTATTATACTAGGGTAGGTGAAAACTACAATTCACGGCTAAATTCATTTGGACCCTAGCTTGTTACAAAATAAAATGGTGGTGATAAATAAAATGCTTACATGTGGCGGGTATAAGTGAGGGCAACCTGTATACAATACAGTATATCTTTGCAAACCTAAATTTGAAGATGATCTGCTACATAAACGGTGGTTTTCTGACTCACTGCTTATGATGAAGATAGAACTGATTGATATGGTATTGAATACTGGGTATTTTATTATGTGAAGAAGTAGCATTTAATGTCAGTGGTGAGTCAGGCAGCCACGGCAGTCACCGCCGATCATCCTCAGTTACCAACCCTCGACCCTTTGATTAATTTGTATCGTAATCTGGTGTCTGTTTTGTGGTTACCTGAGCTGTCCACAGATGGGGATTAGGAGGAGGAGAGGGGGGGGGATATCCACCACCATCATACAGAGGTACTAAAAAGGATTTAGTTGATAACTACGTAACTCAGGAGAGAATTTTTCATTATAGTATTAAATGTATTCACCTAGTTTTATTTTTCTGCAGTTTAATATGTTGTGTAGTACAGGTATTTTAACTTATGTGATTAGAAATATGTAAGAAATTTTTTTCTTTTATATCAGTACTGTATATGTTGCTAACTGTTATTACTGGTGCAACACGCAGAGAATTATAAATGTTTCAGTTCCTTCTGATTACATTATAACAGTACTGTATACTGTATCAGGTTTACAATACACTCAATGCTGCTAAAGACCAATTTTTTGGAAATCTTAGTTTGACAAAATCAGTAGTACAGTAGTGTATTATGGTTTCTGTATATGTACTGTTCAGTGCTGTACTGTACTGTACAGTATTGTTGTTGGAAAAATTGGAGAAAATTGTTGATCTACAGAAGGATTTGTGGTATATACTGTATGTAGATATAGGGCTGGGTTTATTTTTCTTTTGAAGTCATTTGTAACCATACTTTTGTCTACCAAAAGGAACTGCAGTTGATAATTATTTTATATTTAATATAATTTACTTTATTTGTAATTTAGTACTGTGTGTATATTTATAGCATCCAGTATAGGTACCTTAAAATATCCACATCCTGATCAATACCGGTATCCCTCATTAAATTACAAATCGTGAATTGTGTAACATGGTGTATTCCTGGCCTTGCTCTCCTTTCCATCCTCATTGGATGATTGTATGGGGCCCTGTGTCTGGATGCTGTATACTACTATTAACACTTGTCATTGACTTCATTTCACTTGTCACTGTTGGTTTTGAAGAGTGTGATAGTCAGCACCAAAATCCTATGTGATTCTATTTTCATTTTAGGTCCTTGTCCAGTGCTTTCTATACCTTAATACAGTACAGTACAATATTAGAATGTAATGCCGGTCTGGAATCCATACGGTTGAATGTTTAACATGCAATTTGTCGTTAATAAATGGACATATTATTGTAAGCAAACCAATCTTATTGATGTGTTTTTTGTGGTGTTTTATTTAGCTTGAAAATGCCTTGACAGAACTGAAGCAAAAGAATTTAAATAACAGTAGATTAAATGCATTAATGTACATTTCAGTACAGTATAGCACTGTACGGGCTTGTATATGTAAGTAAAATGAATGGTTAGCAAGGCAGCTTAGGTGTTATTAGAAGGTGATCTTGAGGTGACTGGACAGCCACATTGCTGCTTTTAGAAACAATTGACTTTTCAGTGAACTTTGCCTCAATACCATTGTGGCAATGTGAAAGATAGTTGACGTTTGGATTATCTTGGAGAATTTTGGCGCTCTAATAATAAACCAAGGCTATTAAAGCAATATTCAAGATAACCATAATTGCGCCAAGAATTGCTTCAGAAGTGACTACAGTCACTGATGCAATACCCTGGTTGCTGCTGGTGTAAAATTAATGAGTGGCTGAAAAGTTGGCAGTACGGTTCTCACTATGGTGTCATCTATAATTTGTATTATACCATGTGTGAGACACATCTATTGTTCGCTTTCTTCATCTTCTTTTAGACATTGCCATGCAGTGACTTAGGCCCACAGGATATAATGTGCTATAAATATCTAATGTGAGCAAACTTTGCACTGTAACTTTATTAATGAACAGTTGAATATCAGGATTGTGATATAGCTTGGAGAAGTGTCTTCTCGGTTGACGGGTGTGGTGGTGCCAGGGTGTGGCAGTGGTCCTGGGTGGCAGTGGCCCCAGGTGTGGCAGTGGTGCAGGACAGTGGTGCTGGAGTGGTGGTACAGCGCCAACCTCCTGCAGAAGAGAGAATGCCACATAACTTGTAATGTTCATTCACATGCTTCAGTAGTAACACTTATTACTGTGTGTTATACATTTATTGTTTCTCATATTGTCTTTAAGTTTTAGCCACTGTAGTTTATTTGGAAATAATTTGTACCAAAGGAAGATACAGTATTAACTGTACAATAGTGATATACGTACTGTACTGTAGTGGTAGCAGTTACTTCAGTCATATTTATTGTAGGTGTTGTTGTAATATTAGATACAGTATTATTGACACCTTTATCTGTTGTACAGGTTTGTAAAGTAGCAAATACAGCATGTACTGCACTCTGCTAATTTGATACAATACTTATCTTGCATATTTACAGTGTTTATATGAGTTATTATTGATCTGTTGGGAGAGTATAGTAGTTTTTTTACCAGTGATAGTCTTATTGTTTTAGTGGAAGCAGTCCTTAAAAGTGACGAGTGCATCTGTTTCCGTAACTCTTAATTTAAGTCATATATACGGTACAGAACTTACCGCCACATGACTGATTCACTGTTATGTATATTTTTAGTGTGAACTTTTTTCTCGTATGTTTTCTAATAAGCCATTGGCACTGTTTTATTTACAGGTACTATGTCAGTACGCCTTCACCGTGTTTAGGCGTAACCTGCAGGATGAAGGAAGCTGAACGTTCTCCTTCTCCGGGTGTGGGCACGGGCCGTGCAGGACCCAGAGGGTCGGTGGCATCACTGAGCTCACTAGGTGGCAGTGTGCATGATGAACTGTTTCGCTCTCCACGACATGCAGAGGCAGCTTTGCGTCGTATGGAAGCATACTATGCCCGGGGCCAGCTCTGTGATGTTACATTGGTGGCAGGTTAGTAAAACTAGTGTGATGAACATTTTTATTTATTACAGGAAATAGATTAGATTGTTTTAAATTTGGAAAAAAACAGGAAATGTCAGTACAGTATTCAGAGATTAATACAAATGTGAAACATGAATGATATGTAATACATTGTACACACCTGTGCAGAATATAATAGCAACCAAATATTAATAGGAAATACTGTACAGTAAAGCTCATGATTAGGGAATACAAAACAAGAAAAGTGCATGTTTTATGTAGAGGGAAAGAAGACCTGAGGGTCAGTTCTGCTTATGACCAGCACAACAAATAGGAGGAGCTTGTTATTATGAAAGAAATTTTGGACATGTTCATATTGACCTAAATGATCAGAAAGTGTGGAATTATACACAGTATACAATAGTGATATCCCTGCTAGCCGGAATGATTAGTACAGAGCTCCTCCGGGAATGAGATATTTCTGGGTATGGAGACGAATTTCTCATCCCCAGAAAAAAAAATCATTCTGGCTATTGGAGAGTTCCAGGGATCAGAGATTTTACCTAAGGGGGAGATTACTGTATACTGTACATGTAATGTAATACATTTACTGAGGGATGTACTGTACAGTACTCTGAAAATTTTGGTAGAATGAATATTGAGATGAGACTAAATAATTGAGCTGAACAAAGAAAGAGGTTGGAAGCAAATGCTGGGTTGATGATAAGTTTATTGTACAGATTTGGAAAGTACCAATTTCAAGAAGGATTAAATGAGACTTGAATGCATCTCCTCATTTTGATGTAATATTAGCCCTGTAATAATTCACATTAAGAACCGAGCAGGTATTTTGTCGACATTAATCTAGTAGTGAAGTGTTGTGAATTGGGCTTATGCCATGTTCACAGGATTTTTTGTTTTGCACTGCACACCTTAGAATACAGTAATGTCAGCAGGCTTTTTTATTTTGGTGTATTTTAAATCATAAATGCTAGCAAATTTGATGGGAAAGTTATTGTGCATGAATGCGCATTTATTTTCTGTACAGGAAGTCGCCGCATTAGAGCTCACCGACTGGTGCTGAGTGCGGCGAGTGATTACTTTGCTGTCATGTTCACATCTCCTGTACTTGAGGCCACCCAGGAGGAAGTAGCCATGAGAGATATGGACTCAGATGCTCTCCTCACCCTGGTCAACTACTGCTACACAGGTAAGTCTCTCTCACTTTGATCTGCTAGTTGGTTCTACAAAATTTTGTCACTGATTCAGTATACTGTACTGTAAACCAGTGGTGTCAAGCTCAAAACCTTTCGAGGGCCAATTCTTATTTTAGTTACCCTCTTCAGCAGGGCTGTGGAGTCGAAGACAAAACCTTCGGACCCTAATT